GCTCTCACAGCCATGAAGGGTGAACCCATCACCCTCCTCAAGCCCAGCAGTCTTCAAAACACTGACAGAAAGGGAAAGGGTCCTTATAGCTTTCACTTTGGGAAGCTCTCTGCCTCCAGTCCTGACTCAGCTCTGCAGCACACACTCCTTGAGCATGAAGTACTGACCCATGTTTGAAGCCCTCCCTCCCTCCCTCCCTGTTTGCCAAAGGGAAGAGGTGGTAAATGTTCAATTCAGTAGGAAAATTACTGTGGGGCCCTGGCTGTTGGGTTTCCTACAACTGTGTCACAGCATGACCTGTGCTCTGACAAGGCAGTGGCACACAGGGTAGGTTTTGTCCTGTAGTATTTTTCCTATACAGATGGGGAAGGTGAACATTTTCTCCTCTGCAAATAAACCGTAAATAGCTTGGGAGAGCAGGCTGGGGTGTGAAGAAGTGGAAAAGGAGGATTTGATTTTCATTTTTAATTCTTTTTGGGAGAGGGAAGGAAAAGTGGGGAATAACCATCAAAGCCTAAATTAACTCCCCCTTGCAAAATAGTTTGAGGAGACATTATCAAATTGAAAATATGAGCAGTTGGTAAAAGGAGCTGTTTCCCTCCTGTGCTTAATTAAAACAGTGGGTGCTTAATGTCATGCTTTACTTTTGCCCTGTTCATGATCCATGAGGTTTTTGGGAGGGGGCACTTTGCTGAGTGTGGACAATGAGGGCTTGTCCATGGTGTGACTGCTGGTGAAAGCCAAAGTAAATATTGAAGTGGTTATAGTTATGCCACCATAAGCCTCTGTATGAACATTCTCACTCAAACCTCTCAAAAATTTCACTTCTGTTGGTTGGAAATGGGTTTGAATCGGAGTGAAAAAGCTGCTGTGTTACTGGAATTGGGGTGTCCATCTAGAGGTCTCTTCTGGATTATTAATTAAACTTTCTTTTCTGAAGAGACTGGCAGGAATTTGAAACTTCTTGCTTGTCACTTCACCATGATTTCCTGGTTGTGTCACACAGGCTTCGGGTTGTAAATCTTGCATGGGATCTTTTTAATTAAACTCAAGACATTTTTTATCAGCTCTTGAAAATGAAGTTGACTCCTTTTTAGTGCAACCATCATTGACGTAACCAGTCCCTTTGGAGAGAAAACAGCTGTTTCAGTCTTCTCCCCCTGTTGCTAGTGACAGGCAGAGAATGTTGGCTGTGAGTTGAGAGGTGCCTGCAGGGAATCTCTTGAACTGCACTAGGTCCTGCAGCTGGGAAGGAAGAACCCTTGGCAGTGATGCAGGATGTGTTTGATCCCATCTGGAATGTCATGTCTGCTTGAAGACACGGTAAAGACCATGTTTCTTGGTGAACAAAGATGTTAACAAGCATGAGCAAATCCAGCAGGGAGCCATGAAGATGGCGAGACCAGGAGGATGATATGTTGGAGAATGATGGAAGACTCATGCTGCTTGCCAGCCAGCTCACCTCTCCTCTCCCTGTGGCCTTGCCCCAGGCACATCTTGCAGCTCCTGCTTCATCTTGTCTGCACAAAAGTTTCCAACTGATTCACTCAAAAACCACGATTTGAATGTGATGCCAGGTCAGCAGTAATGCTGATAGTGCTGTGCTCACCAACCTGCTTTGAAAACATACACCAAAAAATCTTTGTCCTGTCCCTGCAGTTCCTAACACAGATCCCTCTGCAGCTTCCCTGGAGCCCCTTCAGATCCTAGAAGATGCTCTGAGTTCTCCACACAACCTTCTCTTCTCCAGGCTGAACAGTCCCAACTCCCTCAGCCTGTACTTGCAGGGAAGGTGCTCCAGTTCTCTTATCACCTTTGTGGCCTCCTCTGGACTTGCTCTAACAGTTCCATGTCCTTCTTATGTTGTGGACACCAGAGCTGTGTGCAGTATTCCAGGTGGGTCTCACCAGAGCAGAGGGGGAGAATCAAACTTCTTGAAGTCCTACAAACTGTTCCAGAAGAAGTACTGACCATGTATAGTATCCTGACTTGCCTCTTATGGCTTGAGGAGCTCTTGCTGCCAGTGAGAAGTGCTGGTCAAATTTTTATTTGTCTGTTTTTCTTGTGCAGGGGTTGTCATTTAAAAAAAAAAAAAGAGAGAGAAAAATAAACTAAGTGCCTGTTTTTCCATACAGTGCTATTGCAAACACCAGTGCTGCTGTTCTCTCCTGGGAGAATAGGTGGAGTGGTTCAGATCTCACAACAGGAGTCAGTGCTGAATCTGTTTGATCTGAATTATTCTGGGACTAATAGTGCTAATTGCTTTGGTAATGGCTTGGGTGGTTTGGGGGTTGGTTTGGTTTGGTTTTTTTTTGGTTGGGTTGTTTTTTTGAGGCTCCAAGCTGGAAAAACAAAGGATTGCCAAATTGCTAGTCATAGGACGTGTTTCATCCAGGGAGGAACAAACTTTATTGCCTTTGAGAGCTTCTGGGCTTAGAAGTGATGCTGGGTGGGTAGTCCTGGAGAGAGCAGTTCATCCTTTGTGCCAGAGCCTTGTCTCATGAATGCCTTCAAAAGATCTACTGGGATGTGAATTTGCCTTCTACATAGATCACTGTTACAGCCTGGGTAGTAAAGTCATAGAATCTCAGAATGGTTTGGGTTGGAAAATGCCATTTTTCTTCTAGCAGATTCCTTGTAGGTAGATCTAGAGATTCCTTCAGGCACTCATTCATGTGTTTTACTTCTGTCTGGAGGATGTTAGCTGTTGGGGTCTTCTGGGGTGAGTTTTGTGGAGAGCATGCTGCCCTACCTGGAGAACTCCACACATGAGAGGAGCACCCTTGAGCTGCCTTGTGCCTGGGGAAGCAAAGAAGGTCTTGCTATAACTCTGCCAACTATTGTCTTTCAACTTTCAGGTTTCTTCTGCTAGTCAAAGTTTTGGGCTTCCATCATGTTAATAATTTTCTCTGAGGTTGAAGGATTCTGGTTCTACATTGTCAAGGAAATTTGTGTTTCATTCGTGAGCTCTGTGTTCCATTGCACATCCCTGCAAACAGCTCCTCAACCAATACATTTTGGGTTGTGTCTGCACAAAGTTGAATGGAGAAGGATCTCCTGGCTGACATAGGGGAGCAGCCAGCATAAAACTGAGACTAATTTGATGTACACACAGCTGAAGCTTCCCCTTTCCTTCCCCAGACCATGGCAAAGCTCTCCATGTGTCCCCACTGGTCTTGTGGAAGGTTAGAAGGATTGGGATGAGGTTAAAAAGACTAGGATGAGGCTTGGTGAGGTAAACAGGCACATGGACCTGACTCTGTGGGAGCTGTGTGCTTACTTTAAGGGTTTGCAGGATCCTTGAGGCTCGTGTGGACCTGGCATGAGTATGGTGTAAGACAAACTGTGATGTTCTTCAGGGTGGCCACCATCGTCTTCACTTGATTTGCATCATGTCTAATTGCAGTGTGTTCCCACTTTATAGCAAGACCTTCGTGGTGGCACTGCAGCTCCAGTGCTGCCCATGAACATAAAGCCATTTTCACAGTTCTGTGGTATTTTAGGAGTTCTGGGGCTGTTGTTTGCTGACTGTGCAGCTGGAGCGTGGGAGGAGAGCAGAACAAGGCTAGTGAAACACCATGGTGGCTGTGGGAGGCCAAGGATCTGTGTGAAAACAGGGGCTCAAAGGGATGAGCTTCATCCATAAAATACATGGAGCAAGTTGGACTTATACCAAGTCAGCACTAGGAGTTTAAACATCATTGCAAGCTAGAGCTGCATTGCAGCCTGTCCCAGGGCCTTGGCCCAAAGCAAACCCTGAAGTTATGACTAGGTCCAGCCTTGCTCTGTCACAGGAGAGCAGTTGATGACACAGGAATCAGCCTCTCTTCACTTGCTGAACTCTCATTATTTATTGTTCCAATAGACAGGAATAAATATTCAACAAATAAGCTTCTTGGCCTTAAGTGATTGTGCTGCTCTGATTATAAATAAACTGAAAATCCAAATTGCTTCTTTTTTAAATTAAAGCAGCCTAGACCCCATGGGAATGTTATCTTCCAGTGGCATGAACTAAAAATGGTTCATGCCCCAATTCCCATCTGGAGGATCAGATGCTGACTTGGGATTGAGGTATTTTCCTGGAACAGCTTTGGAGTAGCTCTGGGGTTTGGGATGTGTCCTCATTCTCCTTTCTGTGTGCCCTCCCCTGACTGCAGGTAGCTCTGGTTCCAAGCAGGGTGAAGGATGCTCTGGGAATTGCCTTTGGGTCTCTGGAGCTGGAGGATAAAACAGAGAATTTATAGCAGTTGAGGAGAACTTCCAACACCTTCCTCTCAGGGATGTGTTTCATACCATCTTTACTACCTCCATGGGACCTCTTGGGAGTATTTCTATTCCCAGAGGAATAGAAGGGGGCTGTAAATCCTCAGTGGAGCTGCACAAGCTGTGTCCTGCCATGGGGCTGTGCTTTCCTGCCTTCCAGCCAGGAAAACCAGGCAGCCCTTTCCCTGAGGGAAGTTTGTGGTGGGATGTGCCACAGCCACGTGAGGGACCAGGTGCTGGATGTGACTTGGCTGTGACTTGGCTGGCTCAGTCTGTGAGCCGAAGGCTTGAGGATCCCAGGTGGAGAGGAGCTCTTTTGGGAGCATTTCCATGTGATTGCTGTCAGAAACATGGATCTGTGCCTCCTGTTCCAATCTGTGCAGTTCTACTGCTCAGCCCTGAGGAAAAAACATTCTCCGGCGAGCGCCGCGTCCCTTCCTTCCACCAGCAGCAGGTTTCAGTTGCTTGTTTCAATTATTTAACTGTTTTTATCTCAACCCACAGAGGTTATTTTTCCCCTTCCCTGACTCTCCTCTCCATCCCACAGGGGCAGGGGCACTGAGCAAGTCGCTGTGTTGTTCTCTGAGTTGCTAACTGGGGTTAAACCACAACAGTGTGTCTTGTCTTTTCCAGTGGATGGACTGAGCAGAGGGTTTCATGATAAGAGAGGGATTTAGGCAAAGGTCCTAAATATTGTGTTAACATGCTTCCTTTGCTCTTGCTTTCCCAGGGCAGCCACAGACCACAGCATTGACAACACCACAGCAATCCTAAGGGAGTGGCTGAAGAACGTGCAGCACTTGTACCATGATGTGGAGTGGAGGCCGATGGAGGAACCCCAGTGAGTACCACAGCCCTTGAGTGTACATGCCAAATTCCTTAGGTTTTTCTCTTTCCAAACTAGGAGCTGTACTAAATGTCCCAGCATTAAAATGTGGATTATTTCTTCTGTGGGGTCTGTCCTATTAAAACTATGTTCTTGTGGAGCCTGTCAAGCTCTCTGGCTTCAGCAAAGCAACTCATGCAGATCTTTGAAGAAAACATTTTCCATTCAGTTATTCAGCATCTGCAGCTGCTCTCTTTGCATGGTAAACAAATCACACCAAGAGCTACAGGGAATTAAAACTATCATTCTTTATTTGCAAGGAAGCAGAGGAATCATAGCCCATTCCTGTAGCATCCATGAAAGCTCAGAGACATCAAGTGTTCAGTTTAGTGCTGAGCTAGAGAACTAGATTTAATGGAGTATATTGTGCCTTTGCATGACTTGTAGGACCATTGCGTTGAAATATGATGTTAGCTGTGTTGGGGGTTTATTGCTTTAATTTGTATTTATATTTAAGATCAACTGTTCCTGGGTTTGTTCTGTTTTCTGTTTCTCCCATCAAGGAAAATTGCATCAGTTTCCCCTTCCTTTAGGCCTGCTTTTACTTTTGAGGTCCTCAGTGCACTGGTGGGGTGTTTGTGGCACAATAACCCCCCAGGGAATGCTGGGTTTATTGACATTTTTAATGCTTCCATTGGAATTGAGTTGTCTTCATCCTGTCAAACTTGGCTCTTTTAACTTAAGTGAAAAGCTTTTGAAATTCTTAGCTCCTTCCCTGGCTTGTGCTGGCACTGCTTCAAAGTCCTGGATATTTATTCCACAAATGGTTCTATCCCTAATTTTCCTTCCATAGTCATTACAAAGCCTTTGCTTTTGGACCTGACCCTGCAAACAAAGCCATGCACATAATTTTGTGATGGGGCTGGTGGGGTTGGGTGTTGGGTGTTTGGAGATTTAAGAGCTGTTACTGGGATGTGTTAACAGTTACTAATAATGCCCAGACCCTGAGGGGAATGCACATTGCCTTCATCTTCACCTCCTCAGCTCTGTTGATTCTGCTGGCCTGAAGGATTTACAGCCTAGCAGAGGGCAGAGACTTTGTGCCAGAAGGTCAGACAGGGTAAATGAGCCACAGTTCATTTTGGAGGGGATGCACCCATGGGTGAGGGGCTGCTGCTCCTGGGCTGGATGGTGCTGGTTAGCTGGATCAGCAGGGAACCACTGCTTGTTCTCCAGTGCCCTGTGTGCTCATGCCAGCTCAGAACTTGGCATCCTTTGCCCTCAAAACCTCTCAACCTCTGCTGGGTTGCCTGAGGTGACTCTCACACTGTTTTCCTTTCAGAATGAAGGCAGCAAGGGAACTCTCTCTTTCTTTTTCCTTTTTTGACTGGTGTAATAAGGTCCAGACACGGGTTGCAGACACTTTTTATTTCTTTTCTAGGTCTTACCCAGAAGAAATTGGGCCCAAACATTGGCCAAGCTCCCGATTCACTCATGTGATGAAGCTGCGCCAGGCTGCCCTGCGTGCTGCAAGGGAGAAGTGGTCAGACTACATCCTGGTAAATACAAACTTTGATTTATTAAGTGGCCTCAAGAAAAAGCTTCCCAGGTGGTCACTTGGGTATTGGAGGCTGTGAAAAAGCTTCTTAATATCCCCTAATATTCCCTAATACCCCACCTGGCTGCACCTCCTGCCTGGGTGTTGTAGAGAGTGAGAAGGTTCCCCTGAGCATCCTTTTGTCCAAGCTGAGTCCTCCCAGCTCCCTTAGCTGCATCTTGTGCTCCAGTCCCTTCCCTAGCATTGTTGCCCTTCTCTGAACATGCTCCAGCCCCTCAATGTCTGTCTTGTCATGAGAGGCCCAAAACTGACCCCAAGATTGAAGGTGCCTCAGCAGTGCCAGCCCAGGGGAGCAACCACTGCCCTGGTCTGTTATTGCTGACAGTGTGCCACTGGCTGCCTCATTTCCAGGGAAGTGTCAGGGGAAGCAGATCATTTCTACTAACAACAAATTTCTTTTTCTCTTCCTTCCCTAGTTCGTTGATGCAGATAATTTGCTGACCAACCCACAAACCCTAAACCTGATGATAGCAGAAAACAAGACGTTGGTGGCACCAATGCTTGAGTCTCGCTCGCTCTACTCCAACTTCTGGTGTGGCATCACCCCCCAGGCAAGTGACCTCTTGCAGGAGCTGGGGGGCTGTGCAAGCTGTGTTCTCCTTGACCTCCTGCCCTGGGTCTGTGGAGCAGTGAGTGTTGTGTCTGTTCTGTGGGCTTTCCCATCTGCTTCTCTAGTGTCCTGCACAGAAGCTACTGGAGCTCTGAGTGAGGAGTGCAGAGGTGGTGTTGGCATGTGATGCAATCCCACTAACTACACAAAAAATGCTGATACACAGACCAGGATTTTTTCTAAGGTGGTTCCATATGTTTCTGCAATGACCTTAAAGCTCTTGGTGCATAAATTTAGGCTGGTTTTCCTGTATAGTCATGCTAATCCAAGAGGAATTTGCTTTGTTTTCCACAGCTGTTCATTGTGTCTAAGTCCTTTTTCTCATATATAAACAATATTTACATAGTGGGACAACACCCTTTGCCTTGTAGGGAGTGTGTGTGCTGAGGGGTGTATGGAACAGCTGCTGGTGATGAGCCTAGAAATTGCAGTTTCACGTTACCTTTTCAAATCACAGAAAGTATCAGACATCAAAATGTTGTGTAGTAGAAGTAGCATTATTTTTAGAGCCAGAATGAGATTGAGCTGTCACTTTACAAGATGATCTGCATCACTGTGGTGTCTTGACCCTGGCTGGTAGGTAAACCCCCACCCAGTATTTCTTGCTCCAGTGGGATGGGGAAGCAAATTGTAAGGGCAAAGGCAGGAGAAAAACCCCAAACAAACCCCAAAACAACCCTCATGGGTGGAGATAAAGATATTTTAATAAGTGAAGGGGAAAAAACCCCAAACAAATGATGCAAAACCAGTACCATACAGGCTTCTAGAATCAGCTGCATCCATCCAAACCCAGTACAGTCACCTTGCCCACAGAAGGGTTTCACCAAGAGAATCCAGTGTATAGAAGGGCAGATCTATTGTCACTGCAATTCTTTGCCTTTGTTCACTCTTTTCCTTTGAAATGTTCTTGACTAAGCTCTAGATGGGCCTTCCAAGACATTGGGGCTGAAATGGGGGCTGTAGTTAATGCCTTTTTCTCCCAGGTAAGCCTCACTAATGAGCTCAGCTCTTTGACCTGTGCTCCAGGCTGCTGCTGGTGTGTGTTTTGTCATCTTTTGAGCAGACAGGATCCTGAGCTGTGTGTCTCTTGGAATAGCAGGAGAGCTCTTTGTATTATCTTGAAAATGTTCCCTTTTTGCCCATGTTGGCCTTGGAAAGCTTTAGGATTGCCTTTTTACTTCCATGCCTGAATCTTGTGTTTCCTTCTTCATAAAGCTACTACACAGACCAATGTGTTTAATCCTGAGTGCACATGGATCCCTGAGCTTCCCTGAGGCAGGTAATAGGAATACTTCAAAGTGGTTAAATACTCCTGCCCTTCCCTATGATCCTGCTTTATTTCAGAGAGCTGATCATAGAATTTTGAGGGGTTAGAATAGAGCTTAAGATGATCCAGCCCCAAGCCCTGCCCTGGGCAGGGACACCTCCCACCAGAGCAGGTTGCTCAAGGCTCATCCAACCTGGCTGTGAACACTGCCAGGGTTGGGGCAGCCACAGCCTCCCTGGGCAACCTGGGACAGGGTCTCACCACCACAACAGGGAAAACTTCTGCCTAATAGCTAATCTAAATTTCCCTCTTTCAATTTGTCCCCATTGCCCCTTGTATTGTCACTGCAGTTCCTAACAAGGATAATCAGATACTAATTGTCATTATTGCTGGAGTGAAACAAAGAGCAAACTTCATTTTCCTCTTTCTTCTATTTATCTGGTACAAAAACATCCTTACTCCTTCCCAGTTTTGCCAGGGGCACAAGTTGGGACCACAGGCAGGGAAAAACATAGCAACAGTTCTGGGTCACAGCAAAGGTCCATCTGATAGCAGTGGTTCCTGCAGATGCTTAGGGAATAGTATAAGAACATGGCAAAAAAGTGAGTGATATTTCCCCACAATACTTTTCTACCCTCTGGCAATCACCACCTGATTTCTTGAGGAAGCTATTTGGCTTTAAAGCTCTCAGGGATGTATTTCTTCTACATAAATCACTGTCTGAATCTTTTTTTTTTTGGCATCTTATGGCAAAGAGGTCTAGACTCAGTTCAGACTAAGTGATGGAATAAAAATAGCAGGAAAAGGTCCTGAACTTTCCAAATTCTTAGGAAGTAAATATAGAGATAAGAAAAGGGAGTGGGGAGGTGTGTTTACTTGCTTCAGTTTTTGTTTGAAAATGGAAATATAAACTTCATAGCAAAGGTCCTGTAAGTTTTTGAGAGTGTCCTGGTTTTCCACTGATGTAAATCTGCACTGAAGTGGTTCTCTGCCTGCATGCACCAGCCTCAGCCCTCCCTCTCCAGTGGGAAGTTTCCATCATTAGCTGAGAAAAGGAGAGGGAAAAGCCTCACAGCAAATGCATCTTGCAGAACTTGGTGAAAACAAGCTGCTCAGCTGGACAGCAAGGTTCCTCTTTTAGTTTACATTTTCTCTTAGTTGCTGCTGCTTGTTTCTGTGCTTGCAGTCTCGTGTGCTCAGCCTTGCTCTCCCAGGGGACTTGGGGAGGGAATAACAGCTGGAGCACACCCTGGAACAGGGCACTGAGCCACAGCAAGCCAAGCCCAGCTCCAGGCAGCTTGACATTTAGCTGTCATGGAGAGAACCTTGGGAGAGAGAGCACAGCCACAGCAGGACAACCTGGAGTCCCTGTCAGCTGCACATGAGCAGTGAATAGCCCCAAAACTCTGGAGTGAGTGGCTGGAGGAGGAAAGATTAATTTCCAGAGTCTTTCACTGCAGTGACATAAATTGTCATGGTCAGAATGAATTTGCAGGTGCTGTTCTGTGAGACCCTGAATGGCCTTTGTGCCTGTTGAATGTGGAGGATGTCACAGGAGCAGCTTCCAGGCTCAGACCTGAGAGTCTATGTGCAAAAAGGGTTTTTGAAGAGTCAGGAGAATATAGTCTGAGCTTTGAAGCTCCGTTGCAGTGGAGTTTTGCAGGGGAAAGGCTTGGACCTCCAAGAGCTGCTCAAAAGGAAAAAGAAGGTCAGACTTTAACTTTTGGGATGGAGATTGTTTCTTAATACTTGGCTGAGCCCCTTCCAAATGGGGCCCTGATCTGTCTCTGCTGGGTGAGAGCTTTTGCTAAGGAACATCTCTGAAACAGGAATCTCTTGTAACAAACAACCTCTCTTTGTGATTTCAGGGCTATTACAGAAGGACCCTGGAGTATCCCCTGATCCGGGAGTGGAAGAGGATGGGCTGTTTTGCTGTCCCCATGATTCATTCCACGTTCCTCATCGACCTGAGGAAGGAGGCCTCCACCAAGCTGATGTTCTACCCCCCACACCAGGACTACACCTGGAGCTTTGATGATATCATGGTCTTTGCCTTCTCCAGTCGCCAAGCAGGTATGTCTGGGACCTTGGCTGGGGAGGATTCACTCATAGAGACACACAGACCTCTGCTGTAAGTTCACAGGTCAGAAGTAGGGTGTTGACTTCAGTGGGGAGCTCAGACCCTGCTCCCTTTCCTCTTTGGGATCTGCTCAGGGGTAACCAGCAGCAAGTGACTGGCAAGGCAGTTTTGGATTGCAGCTTCAAAGGATGTGGGAGCTGTTCCTGGGGTGGGGACAGTGTTTCAGGGAGAAATTTAACTTGTTTAATAATGACTGTGGGTTTAGGGCATGGCTGCAAATCTTGGGCACTGCCTTTTGAACAATACTAGCATCACAAATACCTGTAGCTTTTCTGGTCCTTGTGTAGCAATCATTCAATTTTACTATAAAAACAGAGCAGGAGAGTGAGTCCCCTTCCCTGTTTCACGGGAACTTTGCCGTTCTAAAGTAAGTTTTGCCTCTGGAAAGAGCAGGAACAGTGGTGTGAATCTGTACCGATTAAGGGTGTTTAAGCCAGCGGAAGATAAGAACCGAGATCACTGAGCCAGATAAGATTAGTTGATTAGGTCAGTGCCAAATCCATTAATGTCAGCAGGTAGTATTTTTTCATTCTGCCATTTACCTAAATTGCAACTGACAGCTGAATGTGTTTTGGCAAGTAGCAGAGCCAGCAATTTACTTGCAGAACTTAAAATGGGAGAAACATTGGGGTCATTAGTGCCGACAGTTCCGCTCTGCTAAAAATACCAGGGATTAGGGGCACTCGGAGATGAAAGCATCAGCACACCAGGTAGTGTCTGCTTTTCATTTATTTCCTAGAGGGAGGGGGTGGCTGTGCACTTTTTGGACCAGTTGTGTGGGTTCTAGCAGCTTTGATTGGCGTTTGTTAACAAAGGATCTCAGCAGAGCTCAATGAAAAATAATGGAAATACTTCCCTTGGCTTGTTTGGATGTGGGTTTTGAGTGTGTTGCCTGATGTGACATCAGGCCTGGTGCTGCTGCAGTTGCAGCCAGTGGTGAGCAAATCCTTGTCATCCCAAAAGGAGCAGCATTGTGCTGATGCTGGGATGTTCCCAGTGCACCCACTGGGTAGGTCTCTGCCCTGCAAGGGCTCCAAGGAGAGGCTTTGCACCTTCTCTCTGTTTCACACCTTCAAAAAGCAGTTGCAAAAGCTTCTGAGCAGAAGGATGTTGTTATCACCTCTGTTTGAAAGCATCTGTTCTTCTCGCTGGTGTCTTTCTCCAGGATTCTCTTCTCATCTTCAGGGCACAGTAAAAACTAGCTCTGAAAGCCTCACAGAACCAGAAAATGGTCTGGGTGAGGTGAAGTTTCCAAGTTTCCCACTTGGAAACTCAAACTTTTTTCTGAGGCTCTTACAACATAAGAAAGGCAGAAATGGGCAGGAATCCACCAGTTCCATTACATTTACAGCTCTTAGGCACTTTTCTGAGATTTTTTTCTTGAATTAGGCCATGGCTGCTGTGCACCTTCTGATGAATGTCAGCATGGCCATGGGAAGCTTTGGTGTGATTCCTTTCTTTTTAAGGAATCATGCAATCACAGACTGGTTTGGGTTGGAAGGGACCTGAAAGATCATCCAGTTCCAATCTCCTGCCATGGGCAGGGACACCTTCCACCAGCCCAGGCTGCTCCAACCCCATCCAACCTGGCCTGGAACACTCCCAGGGATGGAGCAGCCACAGCTGCTCTGGGCAACCTGTGCCAGAGCCTCAGCACCTCACAGGGAACAATTTCTTCCAATACCTAATCTCTCCCTGCACTGTGAATCCATTCCCCCTTGTCCTGTGACTGCAGATCCTTGAAGGGTTAGTTAGGGAGTCAGTAGGGATTGGTTTCACAGGAGAGGCTGTTTGCTGCCAGCCAGGCAGAACAGAAAGTGGCACTGGGATGGTTTTGAGCTGTTGGTTTATGAAGCAGAAATTTTTGGGACTGAGGAGCTGGCAGAAGTTTGATTGTGGCTATGCAGCCACAGAGCAGTGAAATCCTCTGGTAGCAGACCTGATTCTAGTTTCTGCTTTTTCTGTGGTCCCCAGGAATACAGATGTTCATCTGCAACCGTGAGCACTACGGCTTCCTCCCCATGCCCCTGAAGCCACAGCAGTCACTGCAAGAAGAAGCTGAGAACTTTGTGCACACACTGATTGAGGCCATGAGTAAGTTGCTGTGCCCTTGTCGTGATGGACCCTACTATGTCACCAGAGCTCTCCTCCAGCAGCCCAGCTCTCGTTCCCTTGGAAGTTTGCATCCTGATCTGACTGCTCTCATGCTGTTTTGATAGGCAGTTTTCCATTTCCCACAGCTTTTCTACCTAGGGATGTAATGGCTTCATGGTCAGGTCAGCCCCATCCACAAATCCCTCAGCTTCCCCTGATCAAATGCAGAAATGCAGTGTGGAAAGGAGGCTGCAGATCCCTGTGTGTCCTGAGGTCTGTCTGGGCTGCTGGCTCCAGCTTTGCCCCGTGGAGGCTTCCTGCTGTGCCCATCCTGCTCTGCCTCCTGTCCCAGCTCCCTGGGGAGGGACACACTGTGCCCTGTGTGGATGCAGATGGACATGACAGTGATGTTGGGATCTCTCCTCTCTTGCAGTCGATCGTCCTCCCGTCGAGCCCTCTCAGTATTTGTCTGTCCCTCCCAAGCACCCTGACAAGATGGGATTTGATGAGGTAAGGAGCCTGTTTTGCTCTTTGTCTTGTCTTCCCTCTCCTGTGGTAAGCCCTGAGTTCTCCCTGCAGCTGAGGTTTTGGCCATTTACTTCAGAGCATATCATCACTTTTCTTAGTTACCTCTTTCCTAATCACTCATCTTTTGGATTTAGACCTTTGGCAAGGAGGAAACAGCCATTCCTTTTGGGGAGAACTGCTCAGCTTGGGGAAGCAGAAGGGAAAGGGCTCAGGTTGGTGTGGAGAAAGATCAGTCAGGTCTGTGGGCACTGAGGACCTGCTGCAAGATCCCTAACTGGAAGTGCAGATTCGGGTGCAAGGACAGTGTCCAGGGAACCTTTGGGCTTTGTGTTGATGGTATGGACTGTGGGGCTTGGAGCAACCTGGGCTAGTGGGAGGTGTCCCTGCCCATGGCAGGGGTTGGAATGAGATGGTCCTTAAGGTCCCTCCCAACCCAAACCAGCCTGGGATTCTGTTTTAATCCAGACAGGAGGAAATGGCAGAAATGAGGCTGAAAAACAGGTTGTTTAATTCACCAGTTGTGCTGTTTACATCTGACTCTGCAGAGCAGCTTGGCCCTCCTTCCATCTGTGACAGAAAGTGGTGTTTTGGGAAAACTCTCCTGCTTCCCAGTGGCAGAAGGGAAGGATTTATCTCCCTACAGGGCTGGGAGCACACTGGTGCCTGTGTCATTCCCAGAGCAGCAGCCCCTGAGTGTGCAGCTGCCGGGGTGGCTCGTGGTGGTCAGGGGAGCCTTTGTTTTCTTTGTCTTCTTCTCCATCTGTCTGTGTGACTCTAAAGCTGAACCTGCTCTGGCTGTGTGTGTTGAGGGCACAGCTGGTCCGAGTTTTTTCCATGTTGTCCTTTGTGGCTGTGCCTTATTTATCCAGTTTATTATTCTTTCATTTGTACTGAGCTGGAATTCGTTCTGCTGCTTACTGGGATGAGGTTTTGCTCCTCAGGCTACAAGGCTGCATTTGTGCTTGTCTTTCTGGGACTCAAAAAAATATCCCTGAGCCTCTGAGCTTTACCTGCAGTGAGAGCTTCAGTCCTCAGCCCTCCACCAGTGTCTGTCTCCTCGAGGCTTGGACAGAGCCCTGCCCAGACATCTCTGCTCCTGGCCTTGGCTCTCTGCTCTGGCAGGGTTTGCAGTGGGTTTTCAGTGCCTGAAGTAATTACAAAAATCCTTTCTTTGCCATGTCCTTGTAGTTGGCTGTTGGCCCTGCCAGGCAGTGGCAGTGTTGTGGGGCAGTGTTCCTCTGGGACTGAGGCTGCAGATGGCTCTGTTACTCTGTTCAGTATAAAGCTAAACATCCATTCCTTTGGAAATTACAGACTTGGCTGTAACTGCTCTCCCCTCACTGTTATTCATCCTCAAAGAGCAAGTTTCCCCTGTGAACATCCATAAAAAGTTGTTGGTAGAGAACAAATCTCTAAGCTTCCAACTCAAAGTCAACTCCCAATTTTTGGACAAATCCTATATAACTTGGAATGGAAACACACAGAGGATTTTCCTAAGACCTGTTTTTCTAGTGGGGGAGCTGGAGAAGAGTGGATCAGGACTCCCTGCTCTTCCTCAGGTGGGAGGCTGATGTGTGTCTGTCCTTCCCAGATTTTCATGATCAATCTGAAGCGTCGGAAGGACAGGAGGGATCGGATGCTGCGGACGCTCTACGAGCAGGAGATTGCAGTCAAGATAGTGGAGGCTGTGGATGGAAAGTGAGTTCCAGCTGGGGTTGCTGCTGTTTTCAATGAGTGTGGGATATGCATAGCTCCTTCCCAGCATCTCCTTGGATGCCCTGACCTCCTCCTGGTGGGGCAGGAGGGGCAAGCACCACTTTTATCCATCGGACAGTCTGTTTGGGGCAGTTTTCTCTGTTCCTTTCTTAGAGGGGGCAATGGGATTCAGGCTGAGGTGAAAATCAGGTTAAAATGTCCTTCTGTGAACTGTAACACTTGCACACAATTCAAAGGAGTCACCAGTTGTCTCCTGGGAGGATTGTCCATCCCAGTGCTGCAGAGCTGTTATGCTACAGTGTGAACTCTGACACAGCCCCCCCCAAGCTTGCTCTAAGGTTTGGAACACAAGTCCTGTGAGAAGCAGCTGAGGGAGCTGGGAGGCCTCAGCCTGGAGAAAAGAAGGCTCAGGGAGGATCTTCTCCCTCTCTGCAACTACCTGACAGTACAGCCAGGTGGGGTGAGGCTCTGCTCCCAGGGAACAAGGGATAGCACAGGAGGAAATGGCCTCAGGTTGTTGGATATTAGGGAAAATTTCTTCACTGAAAGGCTGTCAGGCTGTCCAGGGCAGTGGTGCAGTCCCCATCCCTGGAGGGGTTTTAAAGACATGTAGATGTGGCACTTGGGGACATGTTTTAGTGGTGACCTTGGCAGTGCTGGGTTAATATTTGGACTCGAAGATCTAAGAGTACTTTTTCAACCTGAATGATGCTGTGATTCTAAGGTGGGTTAAGACCTTTTTCTAAGGAGAACTCAAGGCAGAAATTTTGGATGTGGGAGTTGCACAAAGGCCTTGGGGATGCAGGAGACAGGATCCCACCTGCCATCTAGTGGTCTGGGAGACTTGGGATCCCATCGAGGCCTCTTCGGAGGCTAATTCAAGCCAAGCACCTGCCGAGATGATGGTCCCACAAGAAGTTTCTGGTAGAGTTAAGGATATGATTTATCAGCTTGATTTAGAAATGTCAATGAAGAAGTTAATTTTTCTCTGTGTTTTTGAGCAAAACAAGTGCAGGAATTTCTCAAGGTGTGGCTTTTCCCTGAACATCAGCAGCATTGCCCATGTTGTATCTGTGTCTGGTTTTTTGAAATGGTGACAGATAGTCTCTGTTTCCCAGAGCACTGAACACGAGTCAGCTCAAAGCTCTGAGCATCGAAATGCTCCCTGGGTACCGGGACCCCTACTCCTCCAGGCCACTGACCAGAGGAGAGATTGGCTGTTTCCTGAGCCACTACTACATCTGGAAGGAGGTATGGAATTTGAGGGAGCCTCAGGGTTCTTGCAGGAAGGTGCTGTGTCCTAGTGCACAGCCAGTCCTGGGGAGAGCACCCAATCCAGCACTGGTTTCTGAAAGTACAGGATGGAACTGATTTCCTTGGGTTGCAAGGATGCTCTTGAACACAGTGTTCAACTTTCACATCTCTCCTTTCCCCTTCCAGTGCCTCAAGGAGCTCCAAGAAAGCTGGAGAGGGACTTTAGACAAGGGCCTGGAGTGACAGAACCCACTGAGCAAGGGCAGGATTAGATTAGATATTAGGAAGGAATTCTTCCCTGTGAGGTGCTGAGGCACTGACACAAGTTGCTCAGAGAAGCTATGGCTGCTCCATCCCTAGGAGTGCTCAAGACCAGACTGGACAGGGCTTGGAGCAACCTGAGCTAGTGGAAGATGTCCCTGGCCATGGCAGGGAATGGAATGTCATGAGAATTAAGGTCCCTTCCAACCCAAACCATTCTGGGATTCATTTGCCATAAGCTCCAAGTGATTTTTATCAGACTATTTTCATGACTGGTTGATGCATCCCTCCATCCAATAATCCATCTAATACCTTGCTTGGAGGTAGTTTGCTTAGAATAAAGGCAAGAAGGTTTTGAAGAGCAAACACTCCTGGTTTTTTTCTCCTTGTTCTGCATCTGGGATGGAGCAAGTTCCAGTGACTTGGCATGTCATAAATACATGTGCCATGGAGTGGTTCTCTAACCTCCCTACCCTCATGGTCTAGGAGGCAGTGCCAGGTCAGGGTGACCCCAATGACTTCAGGGTGCCTGTGTGGGCTCACTTGTGACCCCTCTTGTTTCAGGTAGTGAACAGAGAGCTGGAGAAGACACTTGTCATTGAGGATGATGTGCGCTTCGAACACCAGTTCAAGAGGAAGCTCATGAAGTTGATGGATGACATTGAACAAGCCCAGCTAGACTGGGAACTCATGTAAGTTACTGGTCCCTGGCCATCTGGGAGCTCCTGAGCACGTGGGAAGGTCAGCAGTGCTGCTGTGTCCTGACAGAGGTACAGGTTAATGCTGGAGTGCAGGGCATGGTGGTAGAAACTTCTTGGTGGCTCTTCCCATTGGGACAGATCTGCCTCCTGGGGCAGGTGCTGGTTCCAGTTCTGGAACAGCTCAGTTCTGAGGAACTGGCCCAGCTCAGTCCTGAGCCTTGGACCGTGTTGTCCTAGCTCCCTTAGGAAGCTTTTCACAGCTGTACCACCCACTGGGTTAAGACTTGGATGTCTGGGAGTGGTGCAGGACAGAAATTTGTGAGCCATGTCTGGGATTGCTTCTTGGATTGACCCTTTGCCCTGCCCTAGCTGACACGAACATTCTTGTCTCAATTGCTGTAGGTTCACTTTGGTTCCAATTTCCTTGGTCTTTTCACCCTTTCAGCTACATTGGCCGCAAAAGGATGCAGGTGCAGGAGCCTGAGAAAGCTGTTCCCAATGTCAGGAACCTGGTGGAAGCTGATTATTCCTACTGGACCCTGGGATATGCCATCTCTTTCCACGGGGCTCAGAAACTCATCGGGGCTGAGCCCTTCGGCAAGATGCTGCCAGTAGATGAATTTCTGCCAGTCATGTACAACAAACACCCTGTGTAAGTTGGACACCTCTGTGGCTCAGGGTGACATGAACTGGGTCTTGTTGACTGATCTTCAGCCTGGATCATGTTGGTAGCTCGGTTAGTGGTTGGTTGTGTGCAGCACAGCCCCCAGCACAGGTCAAAGAAGGTGACAGGGGCTGTTGTCCCTGCCTGGGGCAGGGCTGGTGGCTGGTTCTGAGTGCTTGGCTGTAGTTGTACAGGTGTCAGGTGTGTGTGCTTGTAAGGCATGTGGTTCTGGCTGTAGAGAATCAGGCTGTACTTCAGCAACCACCCCTGCTCCCTGGCACCTGTCTGCTCAGTGTGTTGGTCTTCTCATCTCCCAGTTGGTGATGAAGGTTCACTGTGTTACTGTTGGTGTTTCTCTCCTCTGTAGAACGAAGTACATGGAGTACTATGAGCCCAGAGACTTGAAAGCCTTTTCAGCAGAACCCCTGCTTGTTTACCCCACCCACTACACAGGGCAGCCAGGCTACCTCAGCGACACAGAGACCTCCACCATCTGGGACAACGAGACCGTGTCGACAGACTGGGACAGAACACACTCCTGGAAATCCAGGCAGCAGGGCAAGATCCACAGCGACGCGCAGAACAAGGACGCGCTGCCCTCCCAGTCCCTCAACGCGCCCTCGTCCAGGGATGAGCTCTGACTGCCCCTTCCCTGGGGCTCTGACAGCTGAACCTGCCTCACACTTTAGCTTTTCACCCTTGAAAGTTGTAGAGCAGCTCTTCATGTGGTTTCCTTCCCACTGCTTCCGGTGGCCGAGCGCAGTGCTCGGACCTGACGCCTGCCCGGGCCGCTGAGGACAGGGTGGGAGAGATGAAGGAGGAAAAGGTGTTCCAGACTGGCAGAGATCTGAACAAAAGCCTGGGAAAGCTTTTGTTAAAAACCAACCAACCAGCCTGGAATGACAGCTTTCTACAGCTCCTCGTGTAGAACACTATTTATAAAGATTAATATATAGAGGTGTACAAGTGTTGATGCCTTTGGGATGGCTCTACCTGGGCTGCTGCCTCACTGCTACTCCCTGTAGGTCTGTAGGCTTTTACCACCCTATTTGCCAAGTGTTTGGGGCATTTGGGCTTGTTTTCCAAAGGGATCCTTGTCAGGATCAAGATTTTTTTGCCCCAAATGTTCAGTGCAGGGGAGCAGTGCTCCTCTGGTGTGTCTTCTCCCCATCACATTCCTGTAGAAAACCAGTGCTGGCTTCCCTCAGCTCGTTTCTAAGCTTGCTAGATCCCATCCAGCCAGGCCTCCTGACCCAGAAGGGATGTCTGAAGCCATGGCAGGCAGCAGAGAAGGTGGAAGGTGCTGGTTTTCTTTGTCTCTGTGCTGCCTGAAGGGAACACAGTCGGAGTTAGTCTGTGTCGTGTCCTGCTTCAGGCCCTGCCTCACTTGATTCCTTCAGGAAAACAAAGCCCCACAGCCTATTTTCAGGCCTGATTAATTAGGCCATAAAGGCAAGTGTAGGACTGTTGGGAACTTACAAAGTTTGGTTACAAACTGCTTGCCACTCTCCTTTAAAACCCAAACAACCTGCAGCAATGTGCTGCCTCCAGAGCTTTGTGTGCTACAGGACGGAAAGGCAACTTGTCTGGATATTTCTTCATGTGAGGAGCAAATGTGTCTGGTGTTTGGCTGAGTTCTGATGTACTCCCTGTTGGCTCAGGTGCCAGCAGTGTGTGGTGTGTATTTTTTTCTAAAAACCTTTCTCAGAGGCCAGGTGACCATGGACTACACTGCTCAGGGCAGCTGGCACAGCCCCCGAGCTGCTGGGCAGTGGGAGGATTCCCTCCTGGAATTGCCATCTAGGGCCTCACCTGCTGGCAGATCTGTGCGTTGAGTATGTGTGGCTGAGGTTTTGTTGTTCATTTTTGTTTGTTTTTAATGATTACTGATCAGTGTTGTGCTTTCTGCTAAAGGAGACATGTTATTACCTGTCAGCCGGTCTGATAATACATAGAACCTGGTGCAAGATGAGCAGCTGTGTGTGCTCTTCATTGGGTGGGACAGGCTTGGAGTGGTTTGGGTTGGAAGAGACCTTTAGAGGTCACCCAGTCTAACCCCCTTCCACTAGACCATGTTGCTCAGAGCCCCCTCCAGCCTCACCCTGAAGTGAGGAAGGCTGATGGAACTCTAGCTCGAGGCATTCTCAGCTGTGCCACTCTCCCACGGAGTCACTGCCTGTTCTGCAGCTCCTGCCTGGAAACCACATTCCTTCTGCTGTCCAGGTGGGAGCAGGTGCCCACACAACCTGGTGAGTATGGAGGTGGCACTGCAGCCCCAGCACAACTTGGTTTATTGCTTCCTGACAATGCCTCTCGCTCCTTCCCCAGGTGTTGCTGCATGTGTGGCCTGTTTGGAGGGTGATGGAAACCCCAGAGGTGCTGGAAGGAGCTTGGTGTGACCTGCAGGAGCAAAACTTGTGTGCCCAGGTGAGTATCCAGCATATTTTTCAGGTGTCTCTTCCACCCTCATGTGCTTTTTGCTCTGGGTTAGACCCACCTGTGCCTACACGTGGCCTCTCCTTCCTTCCCCCTGCCATGGGAGCTGATTTCCCTGTGTCAGCAGGAGGTGCTGCTACCCAGGACACAGAGCATGGATTTAACAGTTGAGCTGGGCAAGGGGAGCTGCTGAGAATTTGGTTTGGATGCTCAGGGAGGCTGAGTTGTGTTTGACTTTGATTTCCTTAAGCAGAGCAGTAGCAGTTTATAGAAAACAACTTTACAACAGGGTTTTAGTTTGGGGTTTTGTGTGTTTTGCCTTTCAGTTGACTCAGGAAACAAGTGGTTATCAGGACCTGATGGCAGTGTCAGGGCAGAATCTGTGGATTGTGTGTGTGTGTCCATGTCAGAGCAGACAAGGCCTCAGCCTTGCTGATCATTCGTGTGTTTGTGTACAAACACAGCTCTGTACTTACTGACATGTGCAAGACCTGAACGATGCCAGTGGTTCCACTTGTGTGACAAGTGCTGCTGTTCCCTGTGTTTCCAGTTCCTTGCCAGGTGCTGCTCAGGCTTTGCCCTACTCAAAATTAACTCTATGGTTTGGAAAGTTAAGAGGCAGTTGAAACACTTCTAGATTTTTCTGGTATTTTTCCACTTCCCATGTACTTTCTATTTTTTTTGACTCATCTAATGAGCTTCAAAGCTGAGCAGGAGTACCAGCTTTGAACCAACCTTCTGGCAGCTTCTTCACAAGAAAGGTTGTGACAGGCTCAAAAAATGATGACTTGGAACTCACCAACTCTGTCTTTGCTTTGGGTTAAAGAAGGAAAAGTGCTGCTGTGCTCTCACTATGGCACAGAAAATCCTGAGTTCACCAACAGATTGCATTGATCCTGAGGGACATGGAGTGAGGTTGTGGTGTTGGGTTTTTTCTCTGAAGGTAGTTGAAGCAGAATCAAAAGCAAGAATCAGATTCTGGGACTCTTGTCTTTGCTGTTGTGACATGAGAGGCCTTTCAGTGGCCCAGGCAGCTGCCACAGCTGAAAGAGAGGCTGAGGGAGCTGGGGGTGTTCAGCCTGGAGAAGAGGAGGCTCAGGGGAGACCTCATCACCCTCTGCAGCTCCCTGACAGGAGGTTGGAGTCAGGTGGGGGTTGGTCTCTGCTCCCAGGCAACAGCAGCAGGACAAGAGGGCACAGACTCAAGCTCTGCCAGGGGAGGGTTAGGTTGGCTATTAGGCAGAGATTTTTTATGGAGAGAGTGCTCAGACATTGGAATGTGCTGCCCAGGGAGGTGGTGGATTCCCCATCCCTGGAGGTTTTCAAGCTGAGACTGGATGTGGCACTTAGTGCCATGGGCTAGTGACCACAGGAGGGTTGGACTTGGTGATCTTGGAGGTCTTTTCCAACCTGGTTGATTCTGTGATTCTATGACTTGGGGCCTGTAGGAGCCACCCTTGATGCTGAAGTGACTTGGGAAGTGGCAGAAGGGGCTGTGAGGTGTAAAACTCCAAACATTTGTATTCTGTGCAGGGGAGGGGAAAACCCACCAAGGTAATGGTTGTGAGGCCAGGAGGAAAACCCACTAAGATAGAGGCATGGGGAAAAATGGAAATTTTGTAGTCACTTGCTGCAGAAATCATTCAGTGACCCAAGAGAGAAAGATTTCATGCAGAAGATGTAAAATTTGTGTGTAATCTAAGTTATCCAATTACAACAGAAGCTAATAAGGTGAAACTTCAAAAGTAGCACAAGGTATCCCTCCCCTGCAGGCTGTGAGCATGGCTGGGGCACTGGGCTGGCTCTGGCTTGGCTGCTGAGGAGTTAAAACAGTAACAGTGATGAAGCTGAAGGGAGTGACAGCAAGAGAAATGCTGTGAGGTTTAAACAAACCCACATCTGACAGGTAGTAGTGAAAGAAAACGACTGACTCCAGGCAAATATTAAGGAAAAACAATTTATATATTTATATATAAAGATTACAGGTAAGCAATTAAAAACATCTTATATATAAACATTTGGGAAGTGTAATTTTAAAATCCAGAACATTCACCTTTCAGCTTAACACAGACATCCAATCTCTGAGAGAACAGGACTATGTACATTAGGGATGATGCTATGTACATGAGGAGCTGCACTGTACAGTCACCATTGCCTAACTAATATGCAGAGAAAAAAACTTCTAGTCTTGCCCTGACTCTGGGCAAAAATTAAGGCTCAGTAACAAACCCTTCCTCTATCACCCTCTAAACCCAAATACAACTGGAATTCTTTTTCAGACTAGGACCTACAGGAGGTCTCTTTTACCTTCAGTAGGTCTCGTGGACATAGAGTAGGCCTGTGGGACCTTCAGGGGGTCTGTTTTTCCTCCAGTAGGCCTGTGGGACCTTCAGGGGGTCTGTTTTTCCTCCAGTAGGCCTGTGGGACCTTCAGGGGGTCTGTTTTTCCTCCAGTAGGCCTGTGGGACCTTCAGGGGGTCTGTTTTTCCTCCAGTAGGCCTGTGGGACCTTCAGGGGGTCTGTTTTTCCTCCAGTAGGCCTGTGGGACCTTCAGGGGGTCTGTTTTTCCTCCAGTAGGCCTGTGGGACCTTCAGGGGGTCTGTTTTTCCTCCAGTAGGCCTGTGGGATGGTGGATGGTGCTTGAAATACAAATACAGGGAGAATTGGGAGAGGATTACATCACAATCCCACAAACTCACCAAGGCAAGGGCCATGTGCTTACCGTGCTACAGTCAACCACAGGATGGCTGGAGATGCACCCTGTGCCTCACACCACAGCTCAGAACACTCTCTTGGGCCTTGAAAAGCAAGTTCTGTGGTGACATAGCACCCCAGAAAGGAGTCAGACAGCAGGACTCATTTCAGAAATAGCCTCATAGACACCTGGGCCAAAGAGCAGGTATTGAGTGGGTGTATCTTATTCCCTGCCATGCACCAACCTCTAGGAAAATTGGACAATGGCCTGTTAAAAACCACCTTGAAGGCAATGGGTGGTGGGACCTTCCAACATTGGGATCTACATTTAGCAGAGACCACCTGGTTAGTCAACATTGGAGGTTCCACCAATTGAGCTGGGCCTGCCCAAGCAAAAACCTCCAGGTACTGTAGAAGGGGCTAAAGTCCCTGTGGTGCATCTGAGGAATATGCTAGGAAAGAGTCTGGATTAGTCCTGTCTCAAGCAAAGGCAAACCCATCCATAGATGCACTTGGTGGGTAATGCAGAAACATGGGGAGGTACAATGTGTACCTCAAAAGGATTTGATTTTTGGGTGAGAACAGTCAGAAATGTTAAATTGTGTGACAGTGGGTGCTGAATGAAACTGTC